TGTTCTGTTGAGTCTTCAGCCTCAGAAGAGTACAGGAAAGCTAAGATGAGGACTTCCTTTTCTTGTCTTGATCTTGGGAACAAACAATATTCTGTCTTTCCAAAATGGCATATTTGTAAGTAGCTTGGGAAAGAAGTTAGAATTTTTGAAAAGCTAGCTCTTTTACTTTTATAAATTAGAAGTACTTAGTGGCCAGAAATTAAGATCCCTTCCAATTAAGATAGATCCTCAGAACCAAAGTTGGACTGGAAACTAGATTGAGAAGAAAGATACAGCTGCTTCCATAGCCAATAGAACCCATCTCTCCAGGCCTGTTTATTAATGCTGTGGATAACTGCTCTTGGTGAGAACATCCCCTGGACTGGAAACATGGTGTTATAGCAACCAGGTCATCTGAAAGTTGGAGAATGTTAAATAACTTTTATGATATTTATGTTAAATATCTTATAACATTTATTGATTTTTGCAATATTAAAAACGTTTATCTTAGAAAATTAGGAAATCACTAAGTATAAAGAAGGAAAACCACTATTAATCGATGAGAACTATTTTTCCTGACTTCTTTCAATTACCAAACATGGTAAAGACCAGAAAAGGTTAAACAAATTTTTTTTTTTTTTAGTGTAGCCATTCTCATTATCTTTTAGCACGGGGAGGAAAGACCAGGCTGCAAGCATATGTCCCTACCCTTACTTATATTCCTTTAAGTATTACCATTTTCTAGATAGTCAGTCTGAAAATAATTCTTCTGTTGATATTCCTCTTTAAGCCTGAACTGTGGATATATGCTACTACCCAGAAGCTATGGGGGCTGTCTTGCTCCAGTCATTGGGAATTTCATCCTTAAGACTCATTTGAATTTCTAAGCCCTTTATGTACTGCTGTGGGCATATGGGAGCATATTCATACCATGAGGAGCCTTCTGTTTATGATGGACTTTTTTATAGGGCCATAATCAAACTCACACTCGAAAAGCAAAGCAAAGAAAAAACAGACAAAATGAACAAAGTCCATGAAATGAGTTCCTTACCATGCCTAAGCAAATGTCTCTCAAAAAAATTATATTTCTCTGAAATATAATTAAAAATATAATATGAAATACTATATTTTAATTACGTAATTAAAATGTAATCTGAAATATAATGAAAAATTATATTCATAATTTGAATACGTCAACTAAGATTCAGAAGTATTGCACCTTAATAGTGTTTCAGATGAGACTCCTTTCTGTAGTGTGTGGAGGAGAAAACTGCAGCCTTGTTTGATTCTACTCTCTCCTTTACCCCCCTCTTCTGTGGCAATATGGGATTAGGATGTATCCTGAAGTCCCTAAATCTTTCATACATAGAAATCATGAGGGAACTCTGGAAAGCTGGCATGAGGTAGGTGGCATTCAAACAGAAGTGCTTTGGGGTATCACATCTCTTCTGACATCATTAATTGTTCCAAATCACTGTTGGGCTGTGTTGTGTTCTGCAGTCTTTCTTCCCCTCTCCCTTCGTGGTCCTCTCTGGTTTGTCTTACTTTCGTCCAGTCTGTATGGACTTTTTAGGATTTTTTTTTTTTAGTACAAATAATTTTCTGATCCCAGTTTTGGTAAATGTGTTAACAGTACTTTGTGAATAAAGAAATGAGTGATCTGCTGAACAATTGCAGATGTAGAATTATGTTGTATGTAATGTACATATGGAGAAAGAATGTATTTTGTTCATTTTCTTAATAAAAAGTTATATATGGACACTACAGGATGTCTCTTGTGTTTATTAAAACTACTTTTGAAGTCAGCTCTTAGAATGTTTGCATACTTTACAGTTGCTGTATTTTTCCCTCAGAAAGGTGAGTTTTATCAGGTGTCGAGTACACTATAGAAGGGCCTTCAAGTGTTTCCTTTGAGACAGTAGTCAAAGAAGTGCTGGTCAAGCTCACAAAGTTTCTGAGGCAAGTTTCCGTTTTTAAAGAACACAGATAATTTATTTCATGAAATGATGCTTTTCTATCTGCTGTTAATGACCAACCTTATTTTATCTGCTTTGTAAATTTGGACTTGTGTTTTCCCAGGTTGTATTTAGGCCTGTAGGCTAGGAGCTAGAAGAAAAAAACTGAACTGAAATAGAAAATCAATTGTAGAAAAGATAGTAAAGGGAAAGAATGTAGAGGGGTTGCTAAGTTTGGAAAAATCCTGGTCCCTGTTCCCTGTGAGGGAAAAGAAACTTTAAGGGCCAACCCTTGGGAAAAAAATAAGAAATATACCAGGTAAAGTACTGAATTGTTAGGGTTGAGTTGTGTGAGCTGCCCAGATTTACTCTCGGTGACAAGATTGGTCCTTACCATCCCCTGATCTGGTTTACATTTTCTTGGCTTTGTGATCCTGCATTCTGGAGTGAGTTGTCAGCTGGTTTTATTCAAAATAGGGATTATGTTTTCTCAGTTTACAAATCAAGTAATCCAATCCATACCTTACTACTTGGCTTTCATTTCCAGAGTGTGCTTTGAGTGTGGCTCAAAAGTAATATTTCTGTGTGTTCTCAAAACAGGAAAGCATGAGGTGCAGTGATAAGGTAAGGAATTGGCCTTTCTTTGGCAAATCCTCCAGAGAATTAACTCAAAAGAATCAAAAGTGGGACACCGCCCCTGATATATTTGTCACTGTCTTCTGGCGGGAAGACAGCAAGGCTTTGCTGCTAAACACAGATGAGCTGCCAGCTGCTCCCAGGTCAGGTGAGTGTGGAGACCTGCAGAGATTGGAAGTTGCTACTCTATGGGCTTCTACTCCAAGGAAGAAAATCAAGCATCCCATGAGGGAAATGGCCATGCATACCCCTACATAACTTCTTATGACAACCACGGAGTTCATAGGAATTGAAAAAAACACAAAAACTTCCCCTGTTAATGAAGGCAACATTCTTTATCACTAACATTCAGATTTCTAAGATGTGACTGGAAAGGCCAAATTTTGATGGTTCTGGTGAGGTCCTGGCTAGTCCTGGTGTTAAGTGTAAATACAAGTTGACATTTATTCTTTCCCTTAACACCATGTATTACCTCACAGCTTCCTTTGTCCTCTATGTCTTGGAAGGAGAAAAGGAAGAAGAAAGTAGAGACTTGGGGCTTTCTGTGATGTAGAGAGGGTGGGGCAGCAGAAGGTGATGATGCTTAGAATTATCCTACTGTCTACAAGGGGGACTTCCCTCCTGCTGGCTGTCACCAAGAAAAGCAAAGGCAGTCAGTTACAGCCTTGCCAGAGACAGTCGTACTATAGGGAAAAGGAGAGAAAAACTAGGTAGAAGTGGCCCATCCAGTGCTGTGCTAATACGTTCTGGTGATTGGTAAACTCCCAGAGGAGAGGTTAGGGTACTTGGCAATGTCCCTAGCACACATTGTACAGCTGCCCTCTGATTTGGAGCCATAGTATGAGTGTCCCAGGAGTCAGGAATCCTGATTTTTATTTCCAGATCACCAGTGACTTCTGTGTAGCGTTAGGCACAGTCTCAACTTCTCTGCCTCACATTCTCTGTTAAGTACTGGCAGCAGATCCTGTTTGCTAGTGTCCCACTGATTTTTTAAAATCTACAGAATACCAAGGTCTTTGAAAAACACTGGCTACCTTAGTTTTCACTAGTGTTAATTATAGTGGCCAGTCCTATTCTTGTTTTACTGTTTTCCCTTGGGGTACAGAGGAAATACGTGGTTTGGGAGGGAGCTTATAGGATGGGGAAGTTGTGAGTGACAAAGAGGCACAACAAATTTAAAGTGACAACTGAGTGTCTCTTGGTCGGCAGGGCAGGGAGCAGGGTCAGTGACCTGCTCAGGAAGTGAATGGAGTCTTAGGTCTAATTTGTGGCCCACGATAAACCATGAGTCACTCTCTTAGAACAGTGTGCCTTGAACATGGCCAGGGTCCTGTGTGAGTTCCTGGTACTTGGACTCCTTTCTGTATCCTTGGCACACACTTAATGTTAACCTCAAAATACCCCGGGCCCAGCTCCAGCCCTCCCTTCAGGGTGTTTAACTGCCCTTCAGAACTCCCGCATGAAAGGAAGATCACGTTGTAATGGTAGTTGCGTTCTAGAAATGGATTTTGTTGTTGGAACTCAAGCATGAATGTATTGAGAAAAGACTGTGGGACTGAAGAGTGAAAAGATGGAATCAAGGCCTGGTACGGCCATTAAATGGTTGCATAATCTCAGATTACTAATCCCTGCACCTGATTTCCCTGTGTGGAGCGGTCGATGACAGTTCCTATAAGATAGGTGAAAATGGTTTGTGAACTATATGATGATAGGCAAATATAAGAGATTGTTGTCTAACAACTAAGATAAAGTGAATCAAATTTACCCGACAGTTTCCCTTCTGAAGGTTGGGAGCGATGCAGTTGCTCCCTTCCAGCTGGAAACATGCAGTTGTACATAATGCCGGGCTAGGAGATGAAGAGAATCTGAACCATCTCTAATGACCCCTTCCCTTAGCCCCCCCTCATCTCCACTGCATACCTGGAGGAAGGGCAGAGCCTCTTGTGGCAAGTAAATAGATCATTTTATGGGCAGTAACAGGGCCAGAAAAAAAAACAGAGCTTGTTTTTTATATTTTTATTTGTTTCGTCTTTTTGCCAATGTTTTCATACCTGATCAGGGGTCATTGGCCCCCTTGGGGATTTTTGGTGGTTGTGGTTCATGATTGTATGTGAGGCAGAATTAGAGGGAAGGAATAGTAAAACATTTATAAAACAATGTCTTGCTAGGAAATGAGGTCCTTTTAGATGCAGTGACTAGGACAGCCTGAGATAATGTGGAGAATTGTCACCAGCTTTAGGATAACCCTTTTCCTTTTTTTTTTTTTTTTTGACTTCCCTCCTTCTCTGGGCCTGCAGAGTCCAGCAGGTGTAACTGAGAGCAGAGGTTGCTGTGCCCATGGGTGTCAGCTGATGTCCTCAGTCAGGTACACACACATGCCCAAGTAAAGAATTTAAGTCAACCAGAGAAAAATGCTAGGGCTTGAACCAATTTACACAAAAATGCTTTAATTAACGGTATACAATTTTCCAAAATATAGTTTTGTAAGAAAATGCAATAATTAACGATAGTCTTTACAAACAAGTTTCTCAGTAAATTCCAGTGTACTTCAGACCCCTGTCCACTTAAGACACTTGCTCCCCCAGTCTCCTGGGCAAAGTGTTTAACGTTCGCTAGTAACAAAGTGACCCACATCAAATAGCAGTCCCCTCCCTTCACTCCGTGTTGGGGTTTCAGCAGGCCCAAGGGAATCAGCTAGTGACAATGACAAAAGCTAGACTACTGTTTTACTCTTGCCCTCTCTGCCTACCCCTATATTGTTCCCTTTGACCCTTAGTCCTGCTAGTGGAAGTCCCATATGTAAAAGTTCATTCAAACTGTTTCTTGGTAGATAGAAATGTTCATTTGCATCTTAGATCTGAATGACTTGGAGGAAATGTAAAGGACCCGTGAGATCGCTGCGCTTGTTTCATGCCTTCCCTAGCCTTACTAGGGTAAGATTTGGGAAGGAAATTCTGTCCTTTGTGTCATTCTGGTGCCATGAGTACCAGGCCTTAATTCACTGATTTCTCCTGAGGCACATGGCACTGGACAGTCTGTGGATCCGGGTTTTAATCCTGTCAAGAACCATGTGATTTGGGCCATGTCACTTTATCTTTCTGGGCTTCAGGTTCTTTTTCTGTAGGGAAAGATTGGACTAGATCTATAAACCCCTTCCTCTGTGACTAGTGGCGCCTTCCACCCAGTGCACACCAACTGCAGCCTTTACTGTGAGGGAGCTGGTGTGCTGGGGAGGGGGGGAGGGTCATATTTTAAAATTAAAATGCCCAATCTGCAAGACAAATGATACTTTTGTCATAAGCCTGTCTTGTTCTATTTCATTTTTCATTTAAAAAATAAAATCAAACAACTTGTCGTTTCTAATACAATAGACATTTACATTCCTGTTCAGAGAAGAAAACAGCCATCTCTCTTAGCTAACACAGTGTTTTTTCAAAGTATATTCACTCAAAGCAGTGCAGGGTAGATTAACATATGGCCATTGTATTTACATTATCCAAACATATGTATACATGTATCAGTTTGAACTTGTTCTTCAAAGTTTCTCCAGTATATTGTCAAAAAAGATAAAGCTCAAAAAGTGGTTTAAATAAACTTTCAGCTTAGCTTTCCTTATGAAGAAGGGGGAAAAATCTGGTCTCTAGACTAGATTAAACCCGTATTCTGCCTTACGATGCAAATATTCTGTACCTCCTTCACAAGCACTGCTGCCCCTCTCCCCACTCACACGGCAGCCTGCTTCCCACTTGGTTCTGCCCGGTTGTCAGATTCAAGGTTCCTGCCCTTCTGTGCAGCTTAGGGAAACCATAGTTTGCCACTGAAATAAAAAGATCACAACCTCTCTTTGGTACAACTTGTTTAAAGTCAGGCTGAGCTCCTGGTGTTCCTCTTACTTCTTTCTCAGCCCCAGAACCTGAAATTATCAGCATTTAGGACCCAGCAAAGATGGGGGAAGAAGATGACCTTCACAGAGGCATGGCCGTATGGCCTGTTGACACAGGTGTCTTACTGGCAAGAGCAAGATGCAAGGTATTGGGTTCCGAAGGTGCTCTAAAAGGCTAGGGCAATGCCATTTGGATGAAGAAAAAGAAGGAACCTCTAAATCGGCCCACACCTTATCGAGGTTCTCCTGGGACAGAGCCAGTTGCTCCTCTCGACCAGGCGTAACTCCTGCTCTCCAGCCCTTGCAGTCATCTCTCTAAGAGACCTTGGGTCGCAGCCTTTGAGCAATCTGCAGAGGCATATTTGCCATCTCTGTCGAAAGCTCTGGCTGGTGAAATATAACCCAGCATCAGCAATAAGCCTAATAATCCAGTCTGGCCTCTCCCACAGAGGCCAGGACAGAAACCCACAGGGTGGAAAGAACCAAATGTGGGGCACAAAGGAAGCAAACAAACCTCATTCCAGTGTAACACTATTTCTTCTGTTTTTCCCCAAACCGGCACTGCTCGCCATCCTCCCCAACCTCCAAATACTACAGCATCGGGGCAAATGCGGCTGCAGCATGGTTAGCCGAGCATCTCTTCCGTGCTCAGGAGAGCCGCCGGGGCCCTGCCCCCAGCTGGAGCCTTGGCTTTCCTCCTCCCCGAGGACACATGGCCACAGGCGATAAAGAAGGAATTGGGCAGATAGAGATGGACCCAGATCTTCTCCCCACCACCCTGCCTTTTCAAATAAGCTGTTCCAAAGTAGATGGCCTATTTATCAGAATTATCACAACCTGGGCCTGCCTCTAGGACCCTGGAATTGGGACTTTTTACCCTGAAAGGGTAATTTTCCCATAAGCAGTTATGCCCGTCGTCCTAGTTGATTCCAGGAAGTTCGTGCCCAGGAATAGTGGAGACCATGGCCAAAGGTCAAAATTCCACACAGGACTCCCCCTTTTTAGAACATCATATCAAACCTCACTACACCCAGTCCTCAGGAGCCTTCTATATGGCAGCCAACCGCTGAGCCTATAAAAACCCCGTACTGGGGACTGGACATGGCTTTGTGTTTCCCTGAGATGCCACCAGAAGCTTCAGGAGAACTGCAGCAGCCCCCGTAGGACTGGGGAGGAGAGGAAACGGCAAGGCCCAGCTCTACTCCAAGACAGTAAGAAGTTACTGGAAACAGTCCCCCAGGCTGCCCTTATGCACCTTAAAATGCACTGCACGTTCTGGGCCTCTTTCCCCCCGAGGCTTGGGAGAGTCAGAATCAATAAGAGTGGCCAACTGAAAGTTCCCAACAACTTGAGCTTTGGCCTTTGGCAGTGGAGGGCTGGATTAAAACACACACAAACGTAACAAAACTCCCAGCAACCTGACAAGCCCCTGAGTTTCCTATGAAGTAGAGAGTAAAGCCTGTCCTCCCTGGGCGTGTCAGTGGATTGTCTGTGGAGACGTCTCTGCTGACTGGAGGCCACAGAGAAGGTCTCTCCTACAGCGACTTCTCCTTCCCACTGGGCCTCAGGCCCTTCGCCCCGCCTCGCAGGCTGAGCAGTGAACACCAGAGCAGGACACCGGCTCTCAGTAGCTTCTGCAGCGTTTGGTCCCCAGCGGGAGAGGAAGGCCAAAGGAGACCTTGGGGAGCTCCCACAAGGAGTGCCCAGGACCCCCGCCTGCAGCGAGGAGCCTCCCCCTCTGCACCTGCGTGTGGGCCCCTTAAGCAGACCCAGCTCTCACAGGCGTCTCCCGTGCCCCGAGTTTCAATCTCATCAAGCAAATGCGAGGAAATCAGAATCCAGAACGAGGGGTCGAAGGTCATGAATAACCTGGGCTAATCCCAGGGCCCTGGGATGGAATGGGGATAAGATGTGAGTGAAGGGAGCGCGGGAGCAAAGGGCACGGGAAGGCTGGCAGGCGAGGCCGGGCAGGAGACTGGGGACCTGTGCTTTCAAGTAGTGAGAGCTGCCCGCGACAGGAGCTGCCCTGTGCCCCTTCTCGCCTGTCCACCCGCCGGGCCTCACCCCTGTCCAGGGCAGCTCTGGGGAGAGGGCACGAGTGAACACAGCAGTGTGGCATGGTGCAAATGGAAACTCTGTTTTCGTCCTGTCACCAAGTGGCTCTGCGACCTTGGGCAAGTCCCTTACCCTCTTCAGGCCTCAGAAGTCTCACTGCGAGCTGAAGGGGTCCTACGAGGTGGCCGCTGCAGTCTCTCACGTGGCTCGCTCTTGGTCTCCCTTCTCACCTTCCAGCAGCACTGAGCTCAGGCACTAGTGGGTTATTTTACAAGAGGAATCTAGACAGAATGTGACTTATTCAGCTTGAAAAGGGAAAAATTAAGGCCCCTGGGGGGATGTGGAGGAGAATCCACTCTCCCTCCCCAGTCTGTCCCTTCCCCTGTCCAAGTGGCACTTCGGGTGGTCGGCCCGGAGCTCTGCGGTGCTGCTGGAGGCCGCCAGCAGCCCTGATTAGAGGTGTGTGTCTTCCTCCTCTAGGTCCTCCTTGGTCAGGTTGTCCAGAGGGACGATCCAGCTGTCCCCCAGCTCCCCATTAAGGTTGACCTTTTTCTCCTGCATCTCAGAAGATGTCTCCATCACTTCCAGTGTTGGGTTGTCATGGTAACCATTCTCCACGGTCTGCAGCTCCTCTGTTAGCCGTTGCTGGAGTAGGGGAGATGACCCGGGAGAAAGGGTAATCGTGGAGGGCTATGGCCTTAAAGCACCCCTTCAACCCAGGAACCCCAGTTTGGCTGCAGGGAGCACACATGGCTCACATGTGGGGACCAGCTGCTCCTGGGGACCATTCTGGCTCCTGGACTGCCTCAGACTAGTTTGAGACAAAGATTTACCCTGACTCCTAAAATCCTCCATCACCTCACCTTTGCCCTGTGTGCAGTCAGTGGGGATGGACTTTGTTGCCCAAAGCACCCTCTAAGCTCCTTCCTTCCCTCCATTCCTTCCCCCAAACCCCCTCCAGCCCCCCTTCTCACCCTGTCATGATGAACGGGGAAGGACTGTATGAAAGTGACCTCCCCCAGGCGGGGCACTGGGGCCCTCCACAAGCCTGGGCAGGATGGGCAGGGCAGTCCCCAGAGCCATCCCTGCTGCAGACGGCAGCCACGTGAGCGAGAGAAGAGCTTTCTCTCCTCCTCTCAGATGCAACCTCGGTGCACGCTGGAACCTCCTGGGGAGCTTTAACACACTACCGATGGCCCAGAGGGCCCGCCTCCGCCGGCGTGAGGAGCTAGGCACCGGAACTTTTTAAGACTCCCCGCAGCGTGAGGCAGGACTGGGAACCACGGATCTGGGTGGAACTATAAAGACGGGAATTCTAGTGAAGTAGGCGAAGGGATTTTGGCTAGACGGGCACACCCAGGTCCTTTGTATCAATGAGTCCTGAGAACAGCTCTGCGAGGTGGCTGTCATCCCCACCACGCACTTGAGAAACATGAAGCTCCGAGACATTCTCTGACTTACTCAGGGGCACACAGATAAGAGGGGCAGAGCCAGGACTTAAAGCAAGTCTCGCTGACTCCAAAGCCCATTCTCCACCCCGCCCCATGCTGCCTCTTTCCCGTTCCCCATGTGGGAGGGTCCCTGCCCGTCAGGAGGGTTCTGGCCCACTCGCGTTCCTCCCGCGTAACACGGCAATGAGGGCCGCACTCACCTGGTCCTTCCTCTGGGAGAGGCGCTGGTGGCAGCAGCCATAGAGGGCCGCAACGAGGAGCAGGAAGGACGCCATGCAGACGATGGTGATGATGAGGGGCGTGCTGAAGCGGTCCTCAGCCTCTTCTGGGGGTCCCTGGTCCCCCAGTTGCATGTGGCTGACTCCCGCCTGGCCAGAAAGGAGAAAGTTACGTGGCAGAAAACAGGTGCTGGGGCCCCCCTCTCTGAACCCCCCTTCATCATGAGCTCCTCTGCGTGGGGCCTGCTGGCGCCTGCTCCACCGCCCCCGTTGCCCTCCTCCCTTCTAGGCGCGTCCACGTGAGAGGCTTCGTCTACGTAGTCCCGACCCAGTCTGTCCCAACATCTGGGAGGAGCCCACTTACCTCTTTTAGGTCATCCCATTTGTCCTTCAGCTGTTCGTATATATCCTTGGGAAGGAGGTTTGCTGTGGAGCAGACGGAGAGATCTGCCTCAATGGCTGAGTGGGGGCAGGGTGGGGCACCAAGGGGCAGGCACTGTGTCTCTGGGTGGCCCAGGAGGGGCACGGCTGGACACTCCTTAGGAAACTGAAGGGGCACCACCGCCCTGTCCTCCAGAACCATCCCCACCCACTGGGCCTCAGGCCCCCTGGCCCTCAACTCACTCTGGATCGTGATTTCTTTGACTGCCACCGCGTCGCTTTCTGGAACTGGTGCCAGCAGCACACGGCACTCATCGTGAGCCGGGCTGAAGGAGGCCTTGGCTGCTCGGCACAGAAGTGTGACCAGTTTGTCATCCGGAGGAGAACTGTCTGCCTGCAGTGGGGAGCACACAGGCGACAACTCAGGGAGTGTGACGGCAGCCAGGGCTTGTGGGGCTGCCCTTGAGCTCAGGGCAAGAGAAGGCTGTCGCCTTGCTGGAGCCGATCCCCTCCCCAGCCTCAGCCGGGCCACTCCAGGCCTGCCAGGAGTCAAGAGTCGCGTGTCTCCCGGGCCAGCCCCGCCATTCCTGCCCCACTCAGATCGCCCATTCCCCGCACCCTGTTTTCCAGGTCTCTGCGTGCATGACACCTTTCTCTCACCCAGCTCTTTTCACATCTCTCCTCCTGGAAGGGACCGAAGGAGGCGCTGCACAGCAACCCCACGCACTGCGGGGGCGACTCCCATTCTCCCCGAACCTGCCCTTCCAGCCTTTCACGCCCAGTGCAGAGACCTCAGCAGGGAATGCTGCAGCGCTCAGCACTAACACCTGTGCCTCCCCCAGGCTCAGACTCTGGCTCACCGGGAAAGGCTCACCCCTACCCACGGAGTAGGGGACTGTGGGGGATCCCAGAGGGGGTCTCACGTGTCTCTGGGAAGAACGAACGTGGCTGGCATGCTTTAGGGCCAAGGGTGGGGGTAAAGTATGGGCAGCTTTTCCCTAGTCCCTCTACGCCATCTAGGGGAACCCCAGCGCGTGCTTCTCTGACCTGAGTCTCGAATGAGGCACTGAGGGAAAGAAAAGGACTCTAGGACCTCAGGACCCCCACAAACCACCCCTTCCACCCTGAATTTCCTTAGGCTAATTCCCCACCCTGAGGTTAGAAAGGGATCCAGGGCTTTCCATCTTCCTCTTCTAGCAAAGGGAAAAAATGCTTCTCGTAATCACACAGCCTGTCAAGTTTTATCGAGAAAGAGGGCCTGGAGAGAGGCTGGGCAGGCATCTGACCGTCCCCAGGGCCAATCTCAGTGCAATTCCTGCCTTGGCCAATAAGCCCAATCCAGGAGAACACTGCTCCTTCTTGAAACTCTGGTCTAAATGTATGTGTTTGTAAAGTTCACTTGGAAAATGCCAGCAAAATGGACGCCCAAAAGAAAACAATTGCAGAAAATGCGGGTGGCACTGAAGTGTCCTAAGCCCAAGTTCTCCATCCTATAGAAACCTGTTCTAGTTCCTAGGGGTGGCTGCAAAACCCAGCACTGACCAGGAGAGGGCAGCAGCGAGCCAGTCATCCCCTGCACCCCCAGGGCTCAGCCGCTGTCCCAGGGTGACTGGCGGTGTGGAGGCCACTCACACGCTGCCCCTTCTCTCACACAGATGTGCTCTCACACAGGCTGGCACACACACCACCAGAGAACAGCTGCTGGCAGTGGCTCCTGACGTACCTGGGCCCTATTCTCTCTCCCCCACTCTGTTCTTCCACCGAGGCTCTCAGTCCCTGCACCAGGAAATGTGAAGCCCCAGACTACAGCAGGGCAAGTTAGGTGGATGACACCTCTCATTTTCAATTGAGACCCTGAAGCCCAAAGAGCAACTTACTAAAGTCACCCCCAGGGCTAGGGGCAAACAGGAACCAGGAGCAGGTCCCCCGACTGGGACCACTGGGACAGTTACACAGTGGAGACCGCGGTGCTTCCCTGCCTGGGGCAGCCTGCGGGTGCGGCTCCACTTAGAGAAGTCCGAACCTCGGTGTGCCCTCTCTGAGCTGGGAAGGGGCCGCTTCCTACGAGGGCAGGAGAGCGGAGACCCTGCTCACTCGTTCCCCCGCACCCCGCTGCACCCCGCTGCTAGCTGCACCTGTGTGTTCGGTTGGGGCGAGGGCAGCTCTGCGGGGCGAGGTACTCACACACAGGCTGGTTCCCGTGAGGTTCAGGACGAGCAGGTTCTCACTCGGTTTTTCAGGAGGATCACACTTTATCTGGAAGAAGCCACTGAGATTAAGGTTCACGCTAAGAGTCAGGGAATCTTTGACCCGTCCTACCCCCGGGGTGGGTGACCCGGAAAGGAAGGAGTTCAGGGCAAGCCGGGGTGTGGCTGGGCCAGTTCCAGAGCCCGGCGTCCTGGCTGCCCAGCCGTCTGAGCTGGCATCGGGCAAAGCCAGGGAGAGAGAGGGGCGAGTGGAGGCTGCTGCCCGCGGCCCCAGCCAGGGGCCCTGGGGTGGAGGGAAGAACAGAAAGGCCTTTCTTGGAGGCCCTTCTGCCAAGTCCTGCCTCTCTTATCCATCCCACTCTTGCTGCAATTACCCTGCTCTTCCCAGGAGCCGAGGTGGGGGAAGGTGTGCTGGGGCCGTGGGGGGCAGTTGTAGGCAACGCAGGGATGGGGCTCGTGGGTTTCCCAGTGGGAGGCATGGTCTCCATTCCCGGTGCCAGGCTCGTGTGCTGTGGCGCCGCCTTGGAGAAGGAGTCTGTATAGACGGCTGGCATCTGGCTGGAGGTCTGTTGAGTTCCTTGTAAGGTGACCGTCGGTGCTGTCATTGGGAAAACAGGTGATGAGAAAAGACGAGCGTACCCTTGAGAGAAAAGAACGGTTTTTTCTTGCTGCAATAGCTTTCTCAGGTCCTTGGGTCTCATCCCCCATGGAGGCGGACAAAGTGGACCCCGTAACATTTTGCAGGATGGGTCAGACTGGATGAGCCAGTGTAAGGACCCGGCAAAGGAAGTCACAGCAACGACAATGATGCCCACGGTGACAGCCACACTCACTGAGCACTTCTCCCACAATGGACTAAGGGCTGCAAAGGTACTTTCCTGCTTCATCCTCACCCTATGAGGAAGGAACCATCATTATCTCTATTTTATAAACAAGGACACTGAGGCTCAGAGGTGCTCAGGGATTTGCCCAGGGTCACATGCCATTAAGTGGTGGAGCAGAGAACTGAATCCAGGTTCACCCAGCTTGGAGCCCTGGCTCTTCCTGCAGCACGTGGCACCCTCTTCTGGCATGGCAGTCCCTCCCCTCCGGGTTCAGAGTCTCAGCCTCACGCCCAGAAATCTGGGTCAGTCAATCTGGGAGGGGTCATGGTCTCGGGGCTCAGGAGCCATCAGTAGACTTGGAAGTTAATTTACTAGGTTAAGACCAACACTTAAAAATAACTACAGGAAACATCAGGATGTATAACATATAGTAACTCCTATTTATGAAACTTCTGTTTCCATGGTGTACATACATTGCATGTGTGTATGTAATGAGGTGTATACATATGTGTGTGTTCTGCACCATGATGTGAAATGAAAATGTGTTTCTTATCGTAGGCTGCCATCAGACAGGTCAGAGACGCTGTCCTAGGGGACTCCCAGTGCCCTGCCACCACCAGCATGCAGCCTGCCCCTGGACAGCCCACTGGCCTCTGCTCATCACTGAAATGGGAAGCGGGGAGAATGAAGGTAGAGTGGATTCTCGGTGTTTAACCCTTGGCGTAAATCTCCCATCTTCCAGCTGAGCAACGCTATGCAATGTAAACATTGAAAAGTTTCTTCTTGCCTGAAGAAAGCCCAGAGCATTACTTACACAGCGTGGTAGGCATCCCGTGGGGCGTGACGGTGAGGCCAGGGCCAGCCGTAGCGCCCGAACTACTTGAAGTTGCGGTAGGATGTTGTTGTCCCTCGGAAGAGCTCTCCGGGGACTCCGAAGTGCTGCCAGTCAATTTGGGAGAGCTTGTGGGCATGGCCGGAGGAAGAGGAAGAGGACGAGTGGGCTGTGCGGTGGTAACCGGATCTGTAGGTTGAGGGGCCGCCTGACTTTCTTCCTTACTGGTTGTGGCGCCTGCAGGAACACCGTGGCTCCTTTGGTCTCCAGGTGCAGTTGGACTTTGAGTTCCATCCTGGGGACTCGTGGCTTCAGGCTTAGCGGAGACAGTGGGCGGTACGAGGGTAGTGTTGCCTGAACCTTTGCCTGCATCTTTAACCCCCGCTGAGCCACCAGCCGTTGTCGTGGGGCTGCCCGCGTTCACGTCAGCGGCCGAGTTCACGTCAGCGGCCGCTGTGCTTGGGGTTTGCTTAGGTAGGGTCCCCGCTGAGCTGGGGGCCACTGTAAGGGTGCTTTCCTTCACCGGGGATGCTGTTGTCCCTGCGCTACTGGAAGGCTGAGCTGCGCTTTGTTGGGCTGCTGCTGCCGTCGCTGCTGGGCTAGTAGTTACTACAGCTGCATCTTGCTGGATGGGGGCCGGTGGCTTTGTGGTGGTAGTTGAGTTGCCACTGGGCATGGCTGCTGTTTGCAAAAAGACAACACAGAATCAAGTCAGGGTATCAGCTAGGAGCTTTCCTCTCCGCACTTCTCCAGCTCCACCCCGGCACACAGAGGCCTCGCTCCCAGCCCTGCCATCTGCCTTGCTGAAGGTCTGGGTCCTTGATGTGTCTGGATTTTTCTGGGGTTCAAGACACCTCTAGAAGGGAAGCCTGGCGGGAAAAGCAGGGGAAGTCCAGGGAGCTGCTGCGGGGGGGGGGGGAGCCCAGGCTGGCGAGTCCCACCGCGCACAGAGGACACAGAGCATCCCGCACCGCCCCCCCAGCCCCACGTAAGTCCCGTTTCTCAGTGCGCCGCCACGGAACCCGCCGCCCGGGCACGTGGCCCCACAGAAGATTCCACAGACTGATGCTTACGGAACTGCCCTGGCCCGGTACTAAGCATAAGGAAAAGAAGACCTGGCCTCTGTGCTCATGGAAGTTATAACCTAGAGGGAGAAACCGGCAATATACTGAAGTTACACAGATGATTATTCCAGGACGTTTGTGAGCGGTGCCCAGGAAGGGAAGCAGAGTGCTGGGACTGGTCAGCGGGCTGCTTAGCCTGCAGGGTGCGGGGAAGGAAGGCCTTTTGGTCATTTGCTTAATAACGTGTTGACTGAGGGAACAGGATCTGTGTCGGGCCCCGGAGATACAATGGTGAACACCCCGAATCCACACCCTCGGGGAGCTCACTCTCCCTTTGGGGAGACAGACAGTAGACAAGTGGACACAACAAGTACACGTCACATTCTGGTCACCACTGGGGGGAGTGAACAAGGGCGTGAGGTAGAGCACACGGGGGAGGGGCCATCTAAAGAGGGAGGTCAGGAAAGGGACTGAGGCGAGGGTTATGCGGAGACCTGAGGGGTGACAAAGAGAGCACTGGGTGGAGAGGGAGGAACAGTGTCCCCAGCAGGAGGAACAGAACCTGCATTAACAAGGAAAAACTATATGATCTTAATATACGCAGAAAAATCATTTGATAAAATTCAATATCCATTTATAATTTTTAAAAAACTCTCAGCAAACCAGGAATACAAGGGAACTTCTCTTTACCTAATAAGTGATATCTCCAAATAAACCTACAGCTAACATAATACTTAATGGGGAGAGACTGAATGCTCTGCCCCAAAGTTTAGGAACAAAGCAAGGATGTATGTATGCTCTTCCACTGCTATTGAACATTGTGCTGAAAGTCCTAGCCAGTTGAAAAAAGAGAAGAGAGAAGAGAGAAGAAAAGAGAAAAGAAAAAAAGAAGCAGAAAAAGAAAGAAAACCTCTTAAAACTCAGAATAAAAAGACAATCTAATTTTTTAAGATGGGCAAAAGATCTATAAGGAAGAATTGCCAAAGAAGATATGCAAATGACACATAAGCATATAAAAAGATGCTCAACATCATTAGTCATTAGGCAAATGCAAATTAAAGCTATTAATACGGGAGGGGGGGAGGCACACAGTGGCTCAGGCCTATAATTCTAGCATTCTGGAAGGCCGAGACAGGAGGGAGTATGGCTTATTCCCAGGAGTCTGAGGTTGCTGTGAGCTAGGCTAATGCCACAGCACTCTAGCCTGGGCAAGAGTGAGACAATCTCAAAAAAAAAAAAAACTATTAATACAGTGCAATACCTATTAGAATAGCTAATAACAAACTGACAAAACCAAATGCTAGACAAGAACTCTCATACATTGCTGGTGGAAATGCAAAACGGTAAAGCCAGTTTGGAAAACCATTTAGCGCTTTCTTTTAAAGTTAAGCATACAATTACCATATGGACCCAGCAATTCCATTCTTAGTTATGTGCCCAACAGAAACGAAAACTTGTGGTCACACAAAAATCTATATGCAGTTTTATTTACAATCACCCAAAACTGGAAACCACCAAGATATCCTTCAAGAAGTGAATGGATAAACACACTGTGGTACATCCATACAATGACTGCTCAGCAATAAAAAGGAATGAACTATTAATATTAGATTCACATAACAGCATAGATGGATCTTAAATACATTTTGCTGAGTGAAAGGAGACAAAAGGCCCCATAGTGTGTGATTCCATTTATATGACGTTACAGAAAAGGCAAAAACTATAGGGATAGAAACAGATTAGTGGCTACCGGAGGTTGAGAGAAGGGGACCGTGGTGACCCCTCTAGTCCATACAGATTATTTTTAGAACAATGCAACTATTAGTATATGGTACTGGGATGATGCACAAGAGTCCACAAGACTCTGCATTTGTTGAAACCCATGGAACTGTATGCCACCAAGAATTAACTTTACTTTCTGGGATGTTTAGGAAATCCCAGGATGTGATGGAGCCTACAAAAACAAACTTACCTATATTACAAAGGTATAACAACCTCACTGAAGGGGGTGGGGAACAAGAGTTGACCTAAGTGACTTTGGAAAATAGTTTTTTTGACTGGATACCGTAACAAAAAGAACTGTATATTAACAGTGTATTTTAAGTGGTAAAACTGTTTGCCACAAGGGTATGGCATGTCAATTTCAAACCTACTTTACATGTCTACTAGGACTGAACAAATAATTAAACAAATTATAGACAATATGAGCCAGGTTTCTCACTGTTGGAGAAAGAACTTACAAATAAGAAAGGAGGGTGGAGAGGAGGCTTAATGAATCTTGTGATGCTTGATTAGAGACAGATGTCAGTCTGAACTCATGTTTTAACAATTAATATAGATAATGTGTACATACATAGTTAGCACACAAAGGTATATTTCCTAGCTCTGTCCACTCAGAGCATCTAGGAGTAGTGACAAACTAGCAGCACAGAGTACACCCAGCATCCAGATTTTGGTTTCTAATACCATTCTCCAATAAAATGAACCAGGACTCCTTGGAGAAATGGCTTGATTCCAGTGCTGATGTAGGGAAAATGCAAGATGAGCCTGGAACATCTTGTAATGCCAGAAAATAAAGAAGTGCTTAAAAAGAAAAAGAAAAAAAAAAAAAACAGAAAAATGTAGGCAGGTCAAAAAAACATAGGAACCAACCTGAAAGAGAGAACGACCTCAAAGAGCTTGCAATGGCCAAACCTAGAACAATTTAAGCAACAAAACAAAAGATATTGGCTTGGAACCTAAAGAATAAAATAAATATCCATGAATCTATTCTGATAAATAATTGAATGAATAAATAAATAAATGGGGGAGAAGACAAAAATCATCCTTATTGTGAGATTCCAAGATATGATAAATATTCTCCCATAAAACTTCTATATATAAGAAAATAACCCAATAGAAAAATAGACAAATAAATAAAACAGGCATTTCACAGAAAAAAATCGCACAAATAACCCATAAACATCTGAAAATGTTAGTAATTAGGGAAATACAAAATAAAATAAGGAATTATTTTATACCCATTGGCAAAAATTTTAAAGTCAGACAGCAATTGGTAGCAAGAATGTTGAAGAGTGTGGCCGGGTGTGGTGGCTCACGCCTGTAATCCTAGCTCTCTGGGAGGCCGAGGCGGGCGGATCGTTTGAGCTCAGGAGTTTGAGACCAGCCTGAGCAAGAGCGAGACTCCGTCTCTACTATAAATAGAAAGAAATTAATTGGCCAACTAATATATATAGAAAAAAAAATTAGCCGGGCATGGTGGCGCATGCCTGTAGTCCCAGCTACTTGGGAGGCTGAGGCAGCAGGATTGCTTGAGCCACAAAGTGAAACTCTGTCTCAAAAAAAAAAGAATGTTGAGGAATATAAATTGGTACACACGCTTTGGAAATTAGTATTACCAAGTAGACATGTGCATATCCTTCAATCCACAACTCCCAATTGTACCACTAGGCATTTACCCTAGGAAGACACACACGTGTGCATGATGATGCCATTTATAAGAATGCCTCGAGAGCATTTTTATATTGGTCCCATACAGGTAACATGCACATGTTTGTCAACAGTAGTATGGATAAATAAGTTATGATAATATTCATACACTGGAATACTATACGGTGCTGAAAATGAGTGAATTTAAAATGAGTCCAATCAGCCCGACTGATTTCGCTCTAGCAACGTTCAGCTGCTCAGGCCTACGGAGGCAGGGAAAAGTGGAGGCACAGGTTTACCTGGGAACAGGGTTTTGGGGAGGATTTGGGGCTATTTGTGAGGCAGGGATTATAATGCTGGGTTGGTGACACGTAGGGTGGATAACGCCAGGTGGAGACTGACAGGCAGCGCAGAGGTTATGGGACTGGCTGCCTCGAGTGCGAGCACCGTGGTGTGGGCGCATCTGAGCAGGTGGGCGGGAGGGTGGAGTGACCCGGGGGAAACGCTGACATCTCGGCGGAGGTGGTGCCGTCTGCGGTGGCGATGAAGTTTAGGGTGTGAAATGGGAACCACCGAATGAAGTAGGGATGGGACAAGGTCGACAGACAGAGGCCATTGTTTCTCCCAGTAGCACTGACGTCATGGAGAATGCTGACACACATGGAGATGCCGGGGACGGAGTGGGAGTCTCCGGTGAGTGACAGACAGGGCCGAAGAGGTCAGCAGACAGCGGGGCTGCTCGCCAGGGCTGCGCGGAGGGCTGCCGGGTCCTTGGGGGGCAGCGGTTGGAGTGGGAGGAGAAGGCCGCCCCAGCCTTCCAGGAGGGCCTGCTTCCTCTGTTCCTGGCCATTTCCAGACCTAGGACTGACTCTCGACTATTAATAGCGGGAAAGGAAACGGGAAAGAATGCCCCAGGAAGAGGGCGTGTGGCAGGGGGCCAGGGAGGCGATGCAACGGGAGGCTCCAGGCCTGGACGTCAGTGTGCACCCCTCCCTCCTTTGTTACCCCCGCCACCACCCCGACTCATCTCCACAGAAATAAAAGCAAAAGCTCCAAGCGGGGACAGTTACGTTAGAGGCCAGGTAAGACTAACTGACGTCTTCCTGGGCTGGTATGACAACGGGAAACACACAGGCCTCAGCCCCCCAGGCCTGGCCAAGCCATCTGCCCTCTTGAAACACATCTGTG